AAAATTGAAATTTGACCATGACCTTGTACCGGTTTTTCTGACCTGGTGACCTGACCCAAGGTCACCCGGACCTGAAATTTTCAGGTCATATGTAAAAAGGTTGCCCCATAGGTTGTGCCAAATTTGGCGGCGCGCACGTTTTTACGCTATCTTCGAAAAACCTTAGGGGGTCGCATCGACCCCCCCCCCCTGCCAGGGCGAGGGTTAAAACCTCTCTGACAAACACTGCAGGCTGGACATGATTGCAAACTTTTTTAGGCTTGGTCAGTTAAAGGGATTATCCCACCTTCAAAAAAGTACCATTTAGGATTCGGAAATGTTACTCATGATATTGTGACGAATTCTGCAAGTTTTTACGCGTTTTCATTGTATACTTTTTGAGATATTGCGACTTTTATATTTCATCGTGACGTCATTTAGATCGGATCTGTGACGTAATGAAGGATTTACTTCATGTCAATGTGGGGGAAATTTGGCAGCAAATATAGGTATTTGCTCTCAAATATGACGCGGCTCATACCATAACAAGTGTCTCTGATTAGCTTATTCATAAATCAAGTGAAACTTCACATGCGTGACAGGCGTTCAAAATGCAAATGACGTCATCAAATGGCCGTTAGTAGTTAAAGGGACTATCCCACCTTCTAAAATGTTGTTAAAACCAGTTAAATTGTGCCCGACTTTATAGATTGGATGACCAGGAACACGGTTCAGGCATTTATTTTTCATTAAACATCTTAGGCTTCCCATATTCCAAACACAAACATTCAAATATGTGACGTCACAGCCCAAAATTACCTCCTTCCCCAGGCCACATTACTGTCATAAAGCTGATTCTTTTTACTCTGTAGGCACCACAACAAAGTTCAGACCAAGTTTTAAGCGATTTTTCAACGAACAAACCCATTTAAATCAGAATGACTAAACGAGGTGACCTCACACTAACGGTCGCTCCATGTTGAAGATAGGGCCTTGTACAAGGCCCATTTTCAAATGAAGGGAACGAATTTCTTCAACACCAAGAGGCCGCGGGGGTTGCAACCTAGATAGATAGTGGTTTCTGAACCTCGCCGCAAACTTGGCTATCTCAACTCAAACCCCATGTTAAAGGTGGGATAGTCCCTTTAAGAGATAGGGCCTTAGCTAAGGCCCACTTTTCAAATGAAGGGAACAAATTTCTTTAACACCACAAACTGAGGATATTGCGACCAGGATACATAGTGGTTTCTGAACCTGGCCGCCAACTTGGCTATCTCAACTCAGAACTAATGCAAAGGTGGGACAGTCCCTTTAACTTGACCTGGTGACCTGACCTGACATGACCTGGGGTCAAAAATTTCACACATTGTCCAAAATTGATGCACAAAAAGCTACCCCAAGCGGCGCAGCGCGGTTTTTTATTTACACGCAAAAAACGCGACAGGGTGGTAATACAGGGTGACACAAAAAAAAACGGTCATCACCAAATTTCGAATAACTTCGGAAGTTTTATTCAGATCATCACCAAACTTCGGCCACTTAAGGTCACACCTATGCAGCATACATCCACCAAGTTTCAAATCTTCACTACGAATACTTTTAGTACAGTGTGTGTTTTACTGACGCTCCACAATGTGCTCCAGGTGAGCGCCACGGCGCTGCAGGGTGTAGGCACACTTGCATCCGGCGGGCAAAGTTGTCGATAACCCGATGGCTGTGCACTTTACAGAGTGCAATGGCCTCTGGAGACAGTGCTCAGGGGGTGTGCTACCCCTGAAACGTTATTCTTATCGGGTTATCGGCAACTTTGCCCGCCGGATGCAGGTGTGCCTACGCCCTGCAGCGCCGGGGCGCTCACCTGGAGCACATTGTGGAGCGTCCGTAAAACACACACTGTACTAAAAGTATTCGTAGTGAAGACTTGAAACTTGGTGGATGTCTGCAGCTACATAGGTGTGACTTAAAGTGGCCGAAGTTTGGTGATGATCTGAATAAAACTTCCGAAGTTATTCGAATTTTGGTGATGACCGCTTTTTTTGTGTCACCCTGTATATGCCCCCCCCCCCACACTGGGGCGAAGGTTAAAGGAAATTAAGATGATGATGAATTGGGGTTTCTGGGCGCCCGGACTAACATTGGTCATCGGCGCCCATAAAGGCGCCGATGACCACTGTATATTGCTGATAAATGAAATAAAGGAAATAGAGCACTTTTAAAGGGACTATCCCACCTTTACATTAGGTTTGAGTTGAGATAGCCAAGTTTGCGGCGAGGTCCAGAAACCACTATCTATCTTGGTTGCAACCCCCGCGGCCTCGTGGTGTTGAAGAAATTCGTTCCCTTCATTTGAAAATGAGCCCTGCGCAAGGCTCAATCTCTTAACCATTAACGGTAATCTGATGACGTCATTTGGCTTTTGAACGCCTGTTCAAGTGAAATATCACTTGATTTACGAATAAGCCAATCAGAGACACTTTTGTTATTGTATGAGCCGAGTCATATTTGAGAGCAAATACCTATATTTGCTGCCAAATTTCCCCCACACTGACATGAAGTAAATCCTTCATTACGTCACAGATCCGATCTAAATGACGTCACGATGAAATATAAAAGTCGCAATATCTCAAAAAGTATACGAAAACGCGTAAAAACTTGCAGAATTCGTCACAATATCATGAGTAACATTTCCGAATCCTAAACGGGACTTTTTTGAAGGTGGGATAGTCCCTTTAACATAGGGTTTTGAAGTGGAATAGCAGTTTCGTAGCTTGAGCTGAGACTAGCTCACATCAGCAGCTTTTATGGCCCAGCGATCACCCTAAACGAAGATAATCCATTTCTCGTGCCGAAAAGAGTGTCTTACTCAGGAATGTGGTGTCTTACTGAGGAATGCAGCCACGTCATCGTCAGCGGGGAGCATTCATTCTGGCCAGGGTTCATAATGTCCAGGGTACGTTATGCCCGGTGTCGAAATGGCCAGTGCCTTAAATGGGCCAGAGTTCATAATGTCCAGGGATTGCATGGTCCAAATGCGGCCAACTGGCTGCAGATAGGGTATATTCAAAGAGGCCAGGGTTCATAATGTCCAGGGGACGATGTGTCCAGTGTTCGAAATGGCCAGGGTTCATAATGTCCAGGGCACGATGTGTCCAGTGTTCAAAATGGCCAGAGTTCATAATGTCCAGGGCACGATGTGTCCAGTGTTCAAAATGGCCAGTGCCTTGAATGGGCCAGAGTTCATAGTGTCCAGGGATTACATAGTCACTGAAAGTGACGTCATTATGTAAAAAACACGGAACCAGCTCAGTGCGAAGCAGTGCAGTGCCGAAGGCAATGCCTTAGGAGAGATTACAGGCAATAGTAAATCAAATATTTTTAGGTTAAGTGGTTATGTATCTGGCTTCAGGCCGAAGGCCTGAAGCCTGATGCATAACCACTTAACCTAAAAATATTTGATTTACTATTGCTTGCAATCTATTCATGCGAGAAACTATTTCCTTATCCCCGGTAGGCAAACATCATTACCTTAGGTTAGGTTAGGTTAGGTTAGGTTAGGTTAGGTTAGGTTAGGTTAGGTTAGGTTAGGTTAGGTTAGGTTAGGTTAGGTTTGGTTGGGTTGGGTGGACTATGTAATCCCTGGACACTATGAACTCTGGCCCATTCAAGGCACTGGCCATTTTGAACACTGGACATATCGTGCCCTGGACATTATGAACCCGGGCCATTTCGAACACTGGACACATCGTGCCCTGGACATTATGAACCCTGGCCATTTCGAGCACTGGACACATCGTGCCCTGGACATTATGAACCCTGGTCTCTTTGAATTTACCCTATCTGCAGCCAGTTGGCCACATTTGGACCATGTAATCCCTGGACAATATGAACACTGGCCAATTCAAGGCACTGGCCATTTCGAGCACTGGACACATCATGCCCTGGACATTATGAACCCTGGCCTAAATAATACGCACCCATCGTCAGCCAATCAGCATGCTGCTTACAGCCAGTGCATCCTATTCATCCTATCTTGCGTGAGGATACACTCGGGGACCAGTCGTTGAAAGCAAGAAACAACGACGAGGAGAAGGTCTTGTAAAAAGTAGCAGCGATTGCATTGAGCATTAAATGACGAGAATATTTTTACCCCCACCGCCTCAGGCGATCAGGTGCCGTCACCCACCTGGCTAGTCCCACCCTGCAAACTTTGAACTTAAATATTTTCGATTTAAGGCATTTCTCGTGGTTGCGAGTGTCGAAACCGGTGATTGTGAGCCACGGACCCCAATTTGGCTTTCTCAACTAAAATCCTATGTTAAGGTGGGAGAGTCCCTTTAAAGGAAATAGTTCACTTTCACGAAATTATTTTTTTTGCAATGGATTTGTGATTTTTTATGTTCAAAATGATCAGCAAAGAAAATAAAACCTTTTTACAACAAAAGATTATTTTCTATATTTTTGATATAGGAAGAACTTTTCAGTTTCTGTAAGGCACACGCGATCCAGTATGAAAAGAGCATGGGTCCCGAAAATTCTTCAGAAACTAGAGAAATTATCGCGGCCACCGGCATTTGGGCGATCTGCTCGTGCTTTTGTTACTGGAGCGCCTCACTGGAGCGAATTTCTCTAGAGTTCTCGTAGATAATTTCTCTAGTTTCTGAAGAATTTTCGGGACCCATGCTCGTTTCATACTGGATGCGAATATATGCAAGGCACACATCCTCAACGCAAGACACATTTTTCGGGACGAGAAATAGAATATCTTTGCCTAGGGTGATCGTTGGGCTGTAAAAGCTCCTGATTTATGCTCGTCTCAGCCCAAGCTACGGAACTGCTATTCCAGTTCAAAACCCATGTTAAAAAGTGAACTATTTCCTTTAAACCAGGGAGTAACTAAGCCGGTCCAGGTCACGGAGCAGGGGAGGGACCATGCTCCCTGCTGATACCCCCAGCACACCTGGCGATGCTAACGATGGGGGGTCCACAACACACTGTCAGACAGAAACGTCACGCATACTCACATAGATCCAGCGGCACTGCAGTACTGCTCGTGGAAGGCAGTCAGGAGCTCCCATCTGTCAGCTTTGGCCAACAGTTCTCCCGTCTTGATCTTGTCCTGAAGATCTGGTCCGAGGCGGGACGTCTCGACGCGGAACACCCTAAAGAGCAAAACATATTTTCACCCCTGTATCGTAGCATTTCTTAACCCGCGGCGCCCCGCTGGGGGTCCTGGATTTCCATGCCCCGCTGGGGAGGGGGATGTGTCTGAACATTGATCATTGATTAACATTGAGGTCATTGATGGCAAAATTTCGCCGATTTCAGGTCAAATGTCGAGAAGCTCCAAGAAGCCAACGCATAACTCGGGATTCAATAGAGCTAGAGCGCCGCAGAAAATCGCATTCGATAGCCCTATTAACACCCTTTCTTACTAATTCTCTCAGATTTGGCCTAGTGTCAACCGTTTTGCCTGCAGGGGGCAAAAACTGCCAAAATAACGATTTTTTGGAGACAGTTCTTCTGCAATAACTTTTGACTCAAGCCTTGCACGAGCTTCCTTTTTTCCGACATCGTGTTCCTCTCGTCAAGACGCATCGAATGAACTATGATTTGACCTTGAAAGGTCAACTTGAAAATTTGACAGCTCAAAGTCATGATCTGACCGGAAAGGGTCATGTTGCATATCAGTCAATCCGTATCGTCGAGCTGAACACATCCAAGGCGTTTTGATCGCGCTAGCATGCCTCTATCAAAGGTTATCTGCAAAAAAACTGTTAGATATCATTCGTGACCTGAGATGACCTCGGGCATAAACAGAGGTCACGGATACCATTTTAATGTTCAGTGTGTCTTAGTTACTTGTAATTCAGTGTTTGGGAGCGTTGATAATGGCTTTCGTCCAAAAGAGGCGCCTTTCAATTTTTTCCCATTGACCTATAATGGGGAGGTCGCAAAATTGACCTGACCTTAGGTCGTCGATATCAAAATTATGAGATATACATTTTGTATATACTATTGCTCTTAGCAATCGCTGAGAGTTTCAAAGCGATCGGTCGCTCGGCGTAGCTATGGCAGACATTGACACTTTTTATGAGACTTCATATGACCTGGTGACCCTGACCTCAAATGACCTTGATCTTAAATTTTACAACATGTGTAGAACTGATGTATGATAAAGTGTGCACAAACGCGGCGCTTTGAGATATTCGCGAAAAACCACGGGGGGGGGCGGTGTTCAAACACCTCCCCCCCCCTAGCAGGACGCGGGTTAAGACGCCCAGTGGAAGTTTGAAAATTTGAGTTCCGAGAAACCAGAGAAACGGAACCGGAGCCCAGTCGAAAGATATCAGAGACATACGAACTCAAAATATTCATGACGTCATATGACCTTGAATGCTTCAAACTGATCGATTCAAAACCGTGGCCTCGGCAAATCATGAAGCTGTTGAAAATTGGCATTTTGTATGTTCAGAGTTTGACCTGATCTGGTGACCTTATACAAGGTTACTAACCTGGAAGTGCGTCCTTTGCTGGTGAGGCTGGAGGACAAGGCACTCTGCCTGTCTTCGGAAGCACCTGCAGTCGTTTCCTTTACGGAGTCGGCCACACTGAGAATCAGTTAGTGTATTAATTTATTAAAGTGAGAAACAGGTTCAATGGTATGCCACACATTTTCTGCCCAGTCAAAGGGACCGACTCTCCCACCTTCAAAAAACTTAATGACTTTTTTGCAACCGTAGTTCAGAAAGAGCAAACATGAATATCTATTAAATTTCAAAGAGGAATATACACCGGTTGTTGAGATATTAAACCTTTACTTTCCTTCATCATTGGGCCCTGGCCTCCGCTGTTCCAATTACGTCATTTGGAAGAAATAAGTTGGAATCTTAAAAGTGTGGCAGCTTGAGCTCAAGGCAATATATACCACCACTGCAACAATTGTCTTTTACCAAGGCTTTAGTATGAAATTCAAAAATCACTAAATCTGCGCTGACGCCATAAAGTCTTAACCCGCGAGTTGCTGGGGGGGGGGCGTTAAACGCCCCCACTTTTTTCGCCGGGTCATAGCATAAAAACGGCGCGCCGCAGGCGCGCCAAATTTTGGGTACCTGTAGGGAATTAATTGATGTTTATTGTGACAAAGTTTCAAAAAAATCGGTCGGAAAATGTTTGAGATATCGAGGTTTTAGTGACGTCATGATTTCTGAGTTTTCGACCAAAAACGGCATATGTTCAAAAAATCATATAAAATCACAGAATACACATACAGACATGCCGTAAACGCCATTAGACTGCCAATACCTTGATCAATCAAATGGCAATCTTCGATTATTGATTATCGTTCCGCATTTTCCATAATCTTGAACTGAATCTTGGCAATTTTTCGTGACTACTTCACGACCATGATACATGATTTCTTAAATTGAACTTTTTGAGCCAAACACGTACACATATGATAAAATGAATGTCACCATCGTGTTCTACGCCCGAAATTACCTATAAAACATGTGTCACAGGCTGCGAATATCAGTTTTGATTTTCGGGGATATGTGCCTACCCGGTTGACCTGACCTTGACCCTGACCTATGCTTGACTGACCCCTACATGGAGCTGACACTCTTGTAGGCCTTATATGATGGATTGCACACCGATTTGACAGAGTTTATGACGAGAGGCGCCCATTGCGAAGTCCTGAAGTCCATGCTACTGAAAGCCCGATTTCAGGTGTTTGACCTGACCTTGACCCGACCTGTGACCTCAAAATTCAACTTAAAAGTACTCATCTGAAGCGTCTCGTCGCGCTCTTTCGTTTGCCGCCTCGTGCGTTTCGCTGCGCCTATTGGTTCTCGAGTTATCGGCTGGGGGCGTTTAACGCCCCCCCCCCCCAGCAAACGGTGGGTGGCGAAATACCCCAGCAACTGCCGGGTTAAGCCTGAAACAGACTCTTTCCGCAGTCAGGAAATCGCATGCGAGAACCTATTCAAATACATGGAAGCACGCTTGCGTCAATCGCACGCACCTCTCGCATGCGATTGATGCGAGAAGAATTATAATGTATTTGAATAGGCTCTCGCATGCGATTTCCTGAACTCGGAAAGAGTCTGTTTCAACCATAATGGGTCATTCAAATGCATTCGCCCAGTACCCTGGGTTACCCTAAAAGCCATTAGGTAATGATTAACGATTCCAGTGGTATGGAAGAAAACAACATGAAACGAGAAGAAATGAGGATAAAGGCTGAAACACGACTTCCGCAGTCAGGAAAATAGCATGCGAGAGCCTATTAAAAAAAAACATGAAATCACACCCGCATGAATCATGCGCACCTCTCGCATACGATTAATGCGAACAGAGGGGTGTTCACGGGCACCGCACACTGCTGCGTGCGGTGTGTGCGGTGCGTCCAGCAGGCGTGGGGGTAGGGGATGGGTAGGTGGTTCTGACGTCACGGCTGCGTGCGGTGGACGGTCCGCTGTGGCCAGTCCCGACCGGCCACAGCGATCGCTGTGTGCGGTGACGGAAGGCTGACGTAGGGACGAAGTGGGCGGAGCTTCGAGGCTGTGTGCGGTCCGACCGCACACAGGGCCCGTGAACAGCCCTCAGGATTGCAATGTATTTGAATAGGCTCTCGCATGCGATTTCCTGAATGCGGAGTCTGTTTCAGCCTTAAAAATGACACTATAGGTACCACGGAGTCTTTCAAATGCTGATAGTTTCAAAAATTTGTCTCAATCACTCTCGCCGTGACGGTACCAAACATTTTTCAGGTGAAGTTCCTTGATCTGACTCGGTGGCCTGACTCTGGGCCGAAAGTTGTAGAGTATACGCCAATGATGACCGGATAGTCTGACAAGTTTGGCGGCTACGCGCCGATTTTCTTTTCGCTATTTACAAAACCAGGTGGGAACACGCCCCACCCCCGCCCACCGCGGGTTTATGCGTGAGTTGTGCGACTGCTCCTCGATTTCCTAGTGCAGTGGGTGTCAAATCCGAAGGGGTGGCAACAAAGTTATCCTCTCAACTGTAGGTTAACAAAGAAAAGATTTTCATGGAAAACATTTAATTGCATTATTTGGTAACTCTTTTAACCGAAAAGTGGCCAAGATGAATGCATGGCGACACATTTGAATATGAATAATGTTTTTTATCCAGATGGGGACAACTTGTGGCCAATTGAGGGCTGGCCACTTTGCCCCGCGCATACCGTCCGAGGCAAGCGTTAGGAGGCAAAAATATTCCAATTCAGCTGTAAGTAGGGTAAAAAGCATTAAAATTGGTAGGAGACATGTACGATAACCACGCGATGCATGGACAGGAACGCTTATAAAAATTCCAAACGGTTATGGAATAACATAACATTTAAAAATTGTAAACATAGTTTGTAACCTGGCAAGAAATGTTTTTCCGTGTTTCACAGAACAATGGCGATGGGCCTGAAACCACGGTCTGGCTCATTCGAACGACCGCGAAGAGAAGTATAATTGGAAGCCATAAATTGGAACTGACGCCAGCTGTGTAGGGTAAAACGATGGGTGGCCGCTTTGCCCCACTCTCCACTACTATTGGGGCCGATTACCACCGCATTCTGGTCGCCCTTAACCCTCGAAATAATCATCATCAAGCAAAAACTTTTACTTTGATGATTTAATTTTTAAATACTGTTTTTAAGATGTGTTCAGTGGAGAAGCAACTGCGTTACGCCTGTGTTGCGCTGTTACGCATGTGTAATGCGTATTTGTATTGTTTCAGATGACAACAACGAAGACAACACCGAAGACAGAGACAACAACGAAGCCGTTCAGGTATCTGATTTCTTTACGTCAAGATGACAAGGTGTTCAACAAACTCATCAAAGTCGACAAAAAACGTGATGCACTGCAAGCTTCAAAAACAGCGTTCCAAGTGAACGGCGATTACATCCTAGAGTGGTACATGAGTGACTTTGATGACTATGCCGTAGTAGACGAGGAAGCAGACATTCCGAATGCAGGGAAGGCAAGGCTCATCCGGCTGGAGAGATGCTCTACGCCACGGTCTTCTCCGCCACCATTCTCGGCGGCTAACTTCGCGACGGATGATACGGTTCTGCTCCGCTACGGAACTCCTCTGGCCGATGGTGGAGTGATTCCTCTCGTCCCTGTCGGATCTACCCCAACGTAAGTACACATTAACAGCAAAGCATCGGCAACATGTGTTAACTATGCTTCTATAATGGACGATAACAACATTTTTGAGAATGATAATTTGGCTGCTTTTTTCGATATTGCGTAGGTGCTGTGTTTGACGTATGGTGACTGTTAACTGTTATTATTTCAGCGATCAATGCTAAGTTCTCTGATTTTATCTGACACATGTGAATATAAGATTACGAAATAGAATACCATTAGTTTTTCCAGCCTATCCCCTTTGGCAATCTTCATAGTCACAGGCACTGCCTAGAAATTACATAGGTATATGTCCTGTTGGAGCCCACTTTAGCATGCAATATATTACTGAACGGCTCTGGGAAAGAAAAATGGAAACCAAGGTCTTCAAAAAATCGTAGACACGAGGCGTAGCCGAGTGCCTGATTTTTTTTAAGGCCGATGCTTCCATTATTCTTTCCCAGCGTGTTTAGTAAGATTTTCCCATACGTCGCTTAACTGCTATCCATTCATTAACTCACAATTTAATTATTTAAATTAAATCACATTCTTTAAGCTTTTTATCAAAAAATCACGAGGGCTGTAAGTCATCAACCCCTGCCGGAAAGCAGTGCAGGAAAGATCATGTGCAATGTTTCCCGCGCACGGGTAGTATAGTGCTAAAGGAATATCTCGGCGTATGGGAAAACAAATTTTCGCCATTATGGAACAAGACATTTAAGTTCCATAATATTGTTTGGACGCCATTTAATTGCGTCCCAGAAAAGCTATTTCTGGCACCTAAAAGCTGACTCGCCCCAAAATTGGTCCTCAGCACCTATTTGGTGGATACCAGCACCAATCATGGAAAATGACCTTAATTAGCTGTTTCTGGCACCTATTCATCGGTACGCCTTACTCTTTTTTCTGAATCTGGCACCTAAATGCTGAGCGTAGCACCAATCTAGTAGAAAAATGAACTACTGGCTGGTAGAATCATGTTGTTCTGGTATAATGACCCCTGGAGTCTAGCCTAAAGGTAACCAGTGCAGCTACACTCTAAGACAGCCCCGTAGTGATCTCAGCATTGTATATGACGTTTAAGTAAGCAAATAATATTGATTTGTTTGAAAAAAAACAATGTCATTTAAATATCTAGAAGTATTTATTTGTAATGCTTAAAGGGAAACATTTTTGTGAGTAATTGTCTCGATTTTGACCATTAAAACGGGTATTGTATTTTTTGACGTCATCAAATAGCTCCAAAAAAGAAATGTAATGTTTTCATTCCGTTCAAGGCCGCTGAAGAAACGCGGGATCTTACGTGGGACATTGTCCAAACATTGTCCGTTGTTCGACGCGCAGAGTTGTGCCGTGGTTGTGCCTTTTTCATCCGTTTCTTACTTATGTGTGCATGAAGCTTTGATTTTGTTTTTGGTTATTGTGTGGCCGGTCAGTCAAACGCCCCTGTAGAAACCGGATGCTGCGTTTGATCGAGATGGAGTCAGACGATGATTGCAGAAAGCTAATAATATTGAAAAGAGGGCCGGTTGCGTGGCATGTCTGTTCAGAGTTGACATTTTGCTTTACTCCAGTTTATGACCTGAGAGCCTGGCTGGAAGTGACGGATCCAAACTTTTCACGTTAAAATGGCTGAGGGTGCAATAATCTCTACATAGCGGGATGGTAGGTATAGGAGCGTCTTGCTATGCTGCACCATAGCTGGCTAGTGATTCTCTTTTGGCTAGAAATGGCATTAATCATTATCTCCACTGGCGAAAATGGCACTTGACATCACCGAATGCAACGTTCATGTTTGTTAGGATACATAAAATCAGGAAGATTACGCGAATTAGGTAGGCAAACGTGGAATAAAATAGGTGCTGGATGTTTTGGTTTTGGTGCTGAATCAGCAGACAGCAAATACGGAGTTCAACTAGACGATCTGGCAACTTTAGGCTGTGTGGAAGCAATTAGGTGCCAGATTCAGATATTAGGGTCGAATAAGCATTTTGGGGCTGATCAGCAATTAGGTGCCAGAAACAGCTTTTTAGGGACCAGAAACAAATATACCCCATATTGTTTCAGGAAAGCTGCAGCTGATCGTGGAAAGGGGCCGAGTGCAGCAGCAGCCGCTGCTATCGGCACGGCGACTGATGGCCATTTGTGTTTGGATGCAAGTACCGACTCCTCCAGGTACATGTATGCTTAAAGGTAGTGTGCCAGCTTTCCTGGACCGTATGGAGTTAATGGCCCAGATAAGGAGAACCGGATTTTTAGAACTTATCCATACCTTCAAAACTCATGGAAACGTCTTAAATTCTTCAAATTTTGAGTACCCCAGTGCGAAATTCGCCCCGACGGGTTGTCGGTCGTACCCCAACCACATTTCACACCACTATGAACAATAAATGCACACACTGAAATCGCTATTACCGATATGCTCATCCAATCAAGTTTCGATAAACCCGTTCATCATCATCTCCTGCGGTTTCGAACACGCCTGTTAGGTGGTGCGGTAGACCGCGCCCAAAGCCAGGGCCCCGGTAACGTGAGGTAGCCGAGTCGGGGCAGCGTGCGCTGACCCAAGCCGGGGCCGCGCGTCCTCCCGGTGTCATGTGATAGCCCGGGGGGATGCGGTAGACCGCGCCCAAAGCTGCGGCCCCGGCTTGGGTCAGCGCACGCTGCACCGACTCGGCTACCTCACGTTACCGGGGCCCTGGCAGGCCCATGTCGTCCCCTATCTCCCTGTGTGTCCAGGTGCACAGATGACGTCACACGAAGGGGCGGAGTCGGGGGCGGAGCCTGGCGCAACGGCCGCCATATTTGAATTTGTTTTATTAGAACGTATTCTACATTTTGGGTTTCAGTCAATTGTTATCGATAGTTTTATGAACGGTTAGCTGTAATATAAGTGATTTATCAAGAAAAAACACAAATTCTCCTTGCAATTTCGATTTAAGTACGACCCGCGCCTAGATTCGAACGCATGATCTTTGGATTACGGCGCAAGCATCCTAACCACTACACTACTGCGGCGGCGTGGCAGCCGGCGGAACGAAGGCTGCCGAGGCATGGGGGCTTTTTTACGCATTTTCGGAAAAACTAATGGGTTTAGTGAAAAATGCTTCTTAGATAATTCGAAGAAAAATGTCTCGGCTTTCCGATGATGCACTTAGTTTTGTGCTAGCCTTAGCAGAGTTTGTTCTACAGCGCTTCAAAAATCGCCCATTTGCATAGGACTCAAACGGGACTTCAAGACTTGCCCCCAGATGACGTCACGAGCTGACGTCACGATCAGGTAGAATCGCCGGACGACCCTACCTGGTATATAGGGCCTTGGGCCCTGGCTTTGGGCGCGGCTTCTGCTCATACTTTGTGGTGCGGTGGTGGTGCGTCGGGCCGCGCGCTCTGACTTCGGCCAAGAAAAATGCGTCAGCTGATCATTGTCATTTCTGCCACTTGCGTGTGGTGAAATGGGGTCATAACTTAAGAGACGGCTTTTTCATATCAATTATTTTACATAAAATCATATTTCAAACTGTTAGCGCCAAAGACCAATTAGTGTGCTGGGGGCGATAAGATATCAAATTTGATTTATATCCATGACGGCGCCATGCCAAATGCGGCACATGCTCTTTTGGTTTCCCTTTTTTTGATAGAGTGGATTCGTTGTATTGTTGGTTATATTGTTTTGTCTGCAAGTTAAGGTTTTAATATTTTTGTTCTTTTTTGTGTTTGCAAGTTATGGTCTGATTTGGTTAGATGGTTTGTTTTACGGACGCGAAGAAATAGCTAAATCGTCTGCGCTGTCGTTTCCATGGCTTGTCATTTTATAGAAGATGACAAAGATCGAAACAGGTGTTGCCGGCAATATCCAATACGCAGTGCAAAGTAATTCGCTACTGAATTTTGTATTGACTGGTTTTCTGAAAAACGGCAATTTCGTTTAGGAACAGAACAACTGATGATGATAACAAAAATGAACACAAGAGTAAAAGGGTGACAAACAATCAGAAAACAGAATGGTACAAAAAACATGAACTCAAACGAAACAATAAAGTAGGTCACTCACGGATTGTTTCGGGCTGTATAGATGAGATGCCGGCAATAATCAGTCTTCTATAAAATGACAAGCCATGGAAACGACAGCGCAGACGATTTAGCTATTTCTTCGCGTCCGTAAAACAAACCATCTAACCAAATCAGACCATAACTTGCAAACACAAAAAAGAACAAAAATATTAAAACCTTAACTTGCAGACAAAACAATATAACCAACAATACAACGAATCCACTCTATCAAAAAAAGGGAAACCAAAAGAGCATGTGCCGCATTTGGCATGGCGCCGTCATGGATATAAATCAAATTTGATATCTTATCGCCCCCAGCACACTAATTGGTCTTTGGCGCTAACACCCGGCCCATTTGATACCTCGAGGTATCAAATAATTGGTGTCTTGGTACTTGCTAGGCATCTTCGTCTGCCTGAGAGCCGGTTATTTTGACCAGATTGTGAACAGAGCGCCACAGGATGTTACCTCTGCATCGCACCTTGACTGACCTCACTCTGGAATCGGAACTGACCTTCACCTGTTTCACCTGTTTCGATCAACTGAACTGACTTTGAATGAGCTTGGACTAGCTGAAACCATTGTCCTCAAGCAAATACAAGGCGAGTACTATGCTGAAGAAATCAGGCATCTGGAATCGGGTCGACAGGTGCGGTTATCTAGCAGCATTGGGTCCTTAGATCCCAAACTCGAGGAAGGCCTTTTAAGAGTAAGAGGTCGTTTAATGCAGGCAAGTGACCTAGATTATGACAGTAGACACCCGATTATCATCCCCAGCAAGGGGAAAGTCGCTGAACTGATCATTCAAGACGTCCATGAAAGAGTGGGGCACGAGGGAAGACAACACGTCCTTGCGGAATTGCGCAAGAAATTTTGGGTAGTTAGAGCCAACACTGCGGTGCGCAGGTGTTTGCGCCAATGTATCAGCTGTAGGAAACGTGTCCGTCCTCAAGAGACTCAGAAGATGGCGGATATGCCAGCAGATAGAATTGTACAGAGTGAACTGCCGTGGGTCAGCACCGGGGTGGATTTCTTTGGTCCCTTTTACACCAGAAGAGGTCGCGCCCAATTGAAGCGATACGGCGTACTTTTTACATGCTTAGCTATTCGCGCAGTGCACATTGAAGTCGCGGAAAGTCTGTCGTCAGATTCATTCATCTGTGCCCTTCGGCGATTCATAGCCAGGCGTGGTTCTCAAATCCGCATTACTTTGCATGTTTTTTGTACCATTCTGTTTTCTGATTGTTTGTCACCCTTTTACTCTTGTGTTCATTTTTGTTATCATCATCAGTTGTTCTGTTCCTAAACGAAATTGCCGTTTTTCAGAAAACCAGTCAATACAAAATTCAGTAGCGAATTACTTTGCACTGCGTATTGGATATTGCCGGCAACACCTGTTTCGATCTTTGTCATCTTCTATAAAATGACAAGCCATGGAAACGACAGCGCAGACGATTTAGCTATTTCTTCGCGTCCGTAAAACAAACCATCTAACCAAATCAGACCATAACTTGCAAACACAAAAAAGAACAAAAATATTAAAACCTTAACTTGCAGACAAAACAATATAACCAACAATACAACGAATCCACTCTATCAAAAAAAGGGAAACCAAAAGAGCATGTGCCGCATTTGGCATGGCGCCGTCATGGATATAAATCAAATTTGATATCTTATCGCCCCCAGCACACTAATTGGTCTTTGGCGCTAACAGTTTGAAATATGATTTTATGTAAAATAATTGATATGAAAAAGCCGTCTCTTAAGTTATGACCCCATTTCACCACACGCAAGTGGCAGAAATGACAATGATCAGCTGACGCATTTTTCTTGGCCGAAGTCAGAGCGCGCGGCCCGACGCACCACCACCGCACCACAAAGTATGAGCAGAAGCCGCGCCCAAAGCCAGGGCCCAAGGCCCTATATACCTGACCCAAGCCGGGGCCGTAGCTTTGGGCGCGGTCTACCGCATCCCCCCGGGCTATCACATGACACCGGGAGGACGCGCGGCCCCGGCTTGGGTCAGCGCACGCTGCCCCGACTCGGCTACCTCACGTTACCGGGGCCCTGGCTTTGGGCGCGGTCTACCGCACCACCTAACAGGCGTGTTCGAAACCGCAGGAGATGATGATGAACGGGTTTATCGAAACTTGATTGGATGAGCATATCGGTAATAGCGATTTCAGTGTGTGCATTTATTGTTCATAGTGGTGTGAAATGTGGTTGGGGTACGACCGACAACCCGTCGGGGCGAATTTCGCACTGGGGTACTCAAAATTTGAAGAATTTAAGACGTTTCCATGAGTTTTGAAGGTATGGATAAGTTCTAAAAATCCGGTTCTCCTTATCTGGGCCATTAACTCCATACGGTCCAGGAAAGCTGGCACACTACCTTTAAGCATACATGTACCTGGAGGAGTCGGTACTTGCATCCAAACACAAATGGCCATCAGTCGCCGTGCCGATAGCAGCGGCTGCTGCTGCACTCGGCCCCTTTCCACGATCAGCTGCAACTTTCCTGAAACAATATGGGGTATATTTGTTTCTGGTCCCTAAAAAGCTGTTTCTGGCACCTAATTGCTGATCAGCCCCAAAATGCTTATTCGACCCTAATATCTGAATCTGGCACCTAATTGCTTCCACACAGCCTAAAGTTGCCAGATCGTCTAGTTGAACTCCGTATTTGCTGTTTGCTGATTCAGCACCAAAACCAAAACATCCAGCACCTATTTTATTCCACGTTTGCCTACCTAATTCGCGTAATCTTCCTGATTTTATGTATCCTAACAAACATGAACGTTGCATTCGGTGATGTCAAGTGCCATTTTCGCCAGTGGAGATAATGATTAATGCCATTTCTAGCCAAAAGAGAATCACTAGCCAGCTATGGTGCAGCATAGCAAGACGCTCCTATACCTACCATCCCGCTATGTAGAGATTATTGCACCCTCAGCCATTTTAACGTGAAAAGTTTGGATCCGTCACTTCCAGCCAGGCTCTCAGGTCATAAACTGGAGTAAAGCAAAATGTCAACTCTGAACAGACATGCCACGCAACCGGCCCTCTTTTCAATATTATTAGCTTTCTGCAATCATCGTCTGACTCCATCTCGATCAAACGCAGCATCCGGTTTCTACAGGGGCGTTTGACTGACCGGCCACACAATAACCAAAAACAAAATCAAAGCTTCATGCACACATAAGTAAGAAACGGATGAAAAAGGCACAACCACGGCACAACTCTGCGCGTCGAACAACGGACAATGTTTGGACAATGTCCCACGCAAGATCCCGCGTTTCTTCAGCGGCCTTGAACGGAATGAAAACATTACATTTCTTTTTTGGAGCTATTTGATGACGTCAAAAAATACAATACCCGTTTTAATGGTCAAAATCGAGACAATTACTCACAAAAATGTTTCCCTTTAAGCATTACAAATAAATACTTCTAGATATTTAAATGACATTGTTTTTTCAAACAAATCAATATTATTTGCTTACTTAAACGTCATATACAATGCTGAGATCACTACGGGGCTGTCTTAGAGTGTAGCTGCACTGGTTACCTTTAGGCTAGACTCCAGGGGTCATTATACCAGAACAACATGATTCTACCAGCCAGTAGTTCATTTTTCTACTAGATTGGTGCTACGCTCAGCATTTAGGTGCCAGATTCAGAAAAAAGAGTAAGGCGTACCGATGAATAGGTGCCAGAAACAGCTAATTAAGGTCATTTTCCATGATTGGTGCTGGTATCCACCAAATAGGTGCTGAGGACCAATTTTGGGGCGAGTCAGCTTTTAGGTGCCAGAAATAGCTTTTCTGGGACGCAATTAAATGGCGTCCAAACAATATTATGGAACTTAAATGTCTTGTTCCATAATGGCGAAAATTTGTTTTCCCATACGCCGAGATATTCCTTTAGCACTATACTACCCGTGCGCGGGAAACATTGCACATGATCTTTCCTGCACTGCTTTCCGGCAGGGGTTGATGACTTACAGCCCTCGTGATTTTTTGATAAAAAGCTTAAAGAATGTGATTTAATTTAAATAATTAAATTGTGAGTTAATGAATGGATAGCAGTTAAGCGACGTATGGGAAAATCTTACTAAACACGCTGGGAAAGAATAATGGAAGCATCGGCCTTAAAAAAAATCAGGCACTCGGCTACGCCTCGTGTCTACGATTTTTTGAAGACCTTGGTTTCCATTTTTCTTTCCCAGAGCCGTTCAGTAATATATTGCATGCTAAAGTGGGCTCCAACAGGACATATACCTATGTAATTTCTAGGCAGTGCCTGTGACTATGAAGATTGCCAAAGGGGATAGGCTGGAAAAACTAATGGTATTCTATTTCGTAATCTTATATTCACATGTGTCAGATAAAATCAGAGAACTTAGCATTGATCGCTGAAATAATAACAGTTAACAGTCACCATACGTCAAACACAGCACCTACGCAATATCGAAAAAAGCAGCCAAATTATCATTCTCAAAAATGTTGTTATCGTCCATTATAGAAGCATAGTTAACACATATTGCCGATGCTTTGCTGTTAATGTGTACTTACGTTGGGGTAGATCCGACAGGGACGAGAGGAATCACTCCACCATCGGCCAGAGGAGTTCCGTAGCGGAGCAGAACCGTATCATCCGTCGCGAAGTTAGCCGCCGAGAATGGTGGCGGAGAAGACCGTGGCGTAGAGCATCTCTCCAGCCGGATGAGCCTTGCCTTCCCTGCATTCGGAATGTCTGCTTCCTCGTCTACTACGGCATAGTCATCAAAGTCACTCATGTACCACTCTAGGATGTAATCGCCGTTCACTTGGAACGCTGTTTTTGAAGCTTGCAGTGCATCACGTTTTTTGTCGACTTTGATGAGTTTGTTGAACACCTTGTCATCTTGACGTAAAGAAATCAGATACCTGAACGGCTTCGTTGTTGTCTCTGTCTTCGGTGTTGTCTTCGTTGTTGTCATCTGAAACAATACAAATACGCATTACACATGCGTAACAGCGCAACACAGGCGTAACGCAGTTGCTTCTCCACTGAACACATCTTAAAAACAGTATTTAAAAATTAAATCATCAAAGTAAAAGTTTTTGCTTGATGATGATTATTTCGAGGGTTAAGGGCGACCAGAATGCGGTGGTAATCGGCCCCAATAGTAGTGGAGAGTGGGGCAAAGCGGCCACCCATCGTTTTACCCTACACAGCTGGCGTCAGTTCCAATTTATGGCTTCCAATTATACTTCTCTTCGCGGTCGTTCGAATGAGCCAGACCGTGGTTTCAGGCCCATCGCCATTGTTCTGTGAAACACGGAAAAACATTTCTTGCCAGGTTACAAACTATGTTTACAATTTTTAAATGTTATGTTATTCCATAACCGTTTGGAATTTTTATAAGCGTTCCTGTCCATGCATCGCGTGGTTATCGTACATGTCTCCTACCAATTTTAATGCTTTTTACCCTACTTACAGCTGAATTGGAATATTTTTGCCTCCTAACGCTTGCCTCGGACGGTATGCGCGGGGCAAAGTGGCCAGCCCTCAATTGGCCACAAGTTGTCCCCATCTGGATAAAAAAACATTATTCATATTCAAATGTGTCGCCATGCATTCATCTTGGCCACTTTTCGGTTAAAAGAGTTACCAAATAATGCAATTAAATGTTTTCCATGAAAATCTTTTCTTTGTTAACCTACAGTTGAGAGGATAACAAAGTAAAAATCTATCCTCGCTTAAACCTTATCACCATCATATACCCTAGACGTACATGAGGCAACTATTCTGTTTCTCATATCGGCACTTGAGAAGTCAACGGGGGCCGCTTTGCCCCAGGCATGGGGCAAACTGTGGCTAATATGCTTAGGTTTAAGTTTTGTCAATATCTCCCATATGTGAACGCCTTTGGAAATGAAACGCAGTTGGAATAACAGGCAATTTAATAGGGATCACATTGGCATAGAAAGAATCCTTCCAAGTTTCAAAATCAAGCGTCGGCATCGTAAGAAGCGTTCGGGTGGCCGCTTTGCCCCACTCTCCCCTACATGTATGCCTTTACTGCATTCCTGACAGGTTGCGTGACTGAAGGTATCACTCAAGAAATCCTGAAGTTGAATTGCACACGAACTGCAGACTGCAGACGGTCAAGGTCAGCTAACCTGCCTGAGGGGATGATGCAGGAATACAAGGAGGTTCTCAGCAACGTAATATTTAGGATATTCAAAATACAACAAGTTATATCGGATAGACGGAAGGTATCAAAACTTTTGCCACACTGTATAAAATGGGCAGACCACGAAAATGGCCCATAGTCAATATAATGTAATAAAAAAGCACACTATAGGTACCACGGAGTCTTTCAAATGCTGATAGTTTCAAAAATTTGTCTCAATCACTCTCGCCGTGACGGTACCAAACATTTTTCAGGTGAAGTTCCTTGATCTGACTCGGTGGCCTGACTCTGGGCCGAAAGTTGTAGAGTATACGCCAATGATGACCGGATAGTCTGACAAGTTTGGCGGCTACGCGCCGATTTTCTTTTCGCTATTTACAAAACCAGGTGGGAACACGCCCCACCCCCGCCCACCGCGGGTTTATGCGTGAGTTGTGCGACTGCTCCTCGATTTCCTAGTGCAGTGGGTGTCAAATCCGAAGGGGTGGCAACAAACATCTACCCCATGATTCATCTCAAGCCATTTCGGAGGAAGTGGGTGTATGACAAAGGTTTCGGACAGTGTGACGACCATGCAAACAAATTATGTATGCATGTATACTGTATAGCCACATGGGCACTATTTCAAAATAAACGAAATTCGACATCGATTTTTCACTGTCACATCCAGCATAACAGGATAGTATGTAGTACGATGAGAAGCAGAACAGGATAGATTCGTACCTTAACTTTACGTCTGGGCGAGTCCTCAGGTTGAGAGCATTCCACAGCTCCTCAGGTGGTGTCGAGGTACTGCATAAGAAGCACCTGGCACATGGTATGAACCCATGGGCTGGGTGTTCTGCAGCAGCTGCACTCGTTCAAAGCTTTCTTCAGGCATCATCCAGAAAGCCCCAATGTCAGCATCGAACAGACATTTCTGAGACTGCACGACCAGAGATCGTCCGTCTGGGAAGTCGCCGATCCCAATCACTTGTTTGAACCCAGAGTGTGTGTGAACAACGTCTCCTGAGTTGTACTCAAGTGCCATTCATTTCCGCACGGCGGAAAAATGCCGCTTCCCTCACCAAGCCACGGACAGCCTCAGACAAAGCGCCTGGGAATAGCAGAGGTCGTGACTCGTGATCCGCGTCTCGATCCACATGCTGCTTGACCTGATGCCTAGCTGCCATGCTCTTCGGCAAATTCTTCCGATTTTTTTAGGTGGCCACGGACTGCTTCAGGACCTGATGTTTTGCCTCAAATCGCATACTCCATAGCCGCCTAAGTGGGCCGTGCCTCAGTGTTTGCTGTCCGTAGTGGAGCATGTAGTGGAACTTCGGGCTGAGGCGGAAAGACGGAAACAGTATCCGCAGATCGGACAGGAACTCCTCAACTCGTTTTTCAAGCACGGTTGCTTCCGCTTGAGATATTGTGAATGACATGGCCAGCAGAACTACCTTGATCAGCTTCGAGACCAGATGGATACTTGGGTTGGTAGACAGAACAGCCATGGGAATGCCCGCAAGTAGAAGAATGAGAGGAACTAGCCGAATAAGGCACCACATTTCGCTAGCCTTGCCCTTCACAATGACGCTAGCACCATATCGGCGAAGAATTCCTGGGTGATTCACATCCAGTCTGGCGTACGGAAACGTCCGGATACTTTTGTTCAGGTCCTCCAAAGTGACGATGTTTTCATCGATCAGCTTATTTGTCACCAAGCCTATGGTCGACGGAACCACTCCTTCCAACAAGTCGTGCATGACATCCGGAGGCAGCGACGTCGTACAGTGGAATTCTGCCAGACCGTTGAACGGGCACGAACGCTTGATGCCAAACGCCAAACACATGCTTTCTTCGTAATTCAGTTCCTCCAGCAACTTTATTTTGGCATCGTACTCGGCACGCGTCCTGAGTTCGAAGTCTGCAACAGCAGTCTTCTGCTGAATTTCCTCCTTCGTCCCCAAGCAATGCCTGCACATCATGGCACCTCCGTGGAAGGAGGTGGAGAATCCGGCAATGGAATGTACCCCCAGGTTGTCACCCAGCACAGCAGCTAGCCTGACGGGGATTTTGACGCCAGAATCCAAACACAGACCTTGTGCTTCCAATTCCGTGAGCTCTGTCATGAGCGGTTCAAGCAGACGTGCCCAAGAATGTTTCCGCAGAAGTTTCTCAAATATCATGAGCAAGATAATGTTGTCCACCTGAGTACCATCTTTAACCCGCGCCCCGTAGGGCTACCGGCGGACCCTACCACCCGTAGGGGGGGGGGGGGCCGTATCGCCCCCCCCCTAAGATCTCGGAAAGTTACCGGCCGATTTTCAAAATTCAAACGGTGTTCGATAGCCCCACCCGGAAACTACCTTGTGACCGAATTTCATTGACCTAGGTCAAACCGATGACGTCACAGGTCAGGTCAAAGGTCAGATTTTCACCGTTCACAGGCAATTCAAGAAATGTGCTGTGAAAGCGAGTAAATTGGTAATTTATTGAAAACCATCGATGGTACATTGTTCGTCAAACACATACTTTGCTATCTGAGGTCACTGATACCAGGTCAGGTCACAGCGAGGTCAGGTCACCGGGGTCACAATATGAATGTGTCGTGTGATACATGTTTTATGGTCCATTTTACATGACAAATGCGATTATGTGGGTTAGGCAGCCTTTGGGGCCAGCCTAGGTCACGTTTTTGTGAAGGTCAGGTCAAGGTCAGGTCAAATTAGGTCAAATTTCAAAGTTGATATTTTTGCATAAAATGGGTATCGATTCGATGCAGCTCGTCACGGGGAGTCTAATGGTGGTCTTCGTTTTGCTCTACGAGTTCTAGAATTGCCAAAAATTGAGTTTGAAAATTTGACGTCATCATTTTTGAACAGTTTTTTCGCTATAACTTGGCCAAAAAACGAGGTATCGATCTGAAATTTGGTATGTAGATAGAAGACGGTAGGCACTATCACATATATTCCGGTTTTTTTCGAAACTCAAAAAACTTTTTGGATTTTTTGGCGAATATATCAAAAAAAATGCTTTTATTATTTTTGGGGGTCAAAACTCAAAAATTTCAAAAATTCGAGATAGCAGTTTTGTAGCCCTGTCAATTCTACACCTTTTATGTCTTGATCATTTTTCTGTATCTTCAAAGCTGTAGTCCTGACAGGTCTTCTCGCAAAGGTCTTTTTTCGGTCGAAAATGACAAAACATGACGTCACTCTGACGTCATTTGTGGCCAACCTATCATAGCCTCTGGAAAAATTTTTGGTCACAATGTGTAAAATTGATGCCCGGAGGGGTCCTGAAAGTTTGGTGGCGATATCTCCAGCCGTTTAGGAGATATCGACCGAAAAGGACAGGGGGGGCCGAAAACAGGGGGGGCCGTTTCGGCCCCCCCCCCCCCCTACGGGGCGCGGGTTAAGATTGTTCACAGCGCAGTAGATTGCACCGACCTTGGAGTCCTTTGCTTTGCTAGACAGCGGGTTTCCGACCTGAAAGTCGTCGTAGTATATCGAGAGGTGCAAGGTGTTTTTGGTCGATGTTTGGTGCATGCTACCATCCCAAATGCCATGCAAGTCATGCATCTGATGGGCGTCATCGCCGCGTGCTTCTCGGCCAGACGCCCTGTCATTCGCAACTGACAGAAGACAGGCTTCATCGGGACAAAGTCGCTTTAGCTGCGGGGTGAGCGGGACGTATTCGTATGTTTCCATCTTGCCATCAGCATCCGCACAGAGAGTAATTGTCTGGGGAGAAGGTATGCTACATTTCTGAAGGACATGTTTGTCTAGGTGAGGACTTTGGAGAGCTTCACTTAGTGT